ATCTTTCATACGCCCTCTCTTTTTGCTTCAAGCATCTGTGTGTGTGTGTGTGTGTGAGAGAGAGAGGGAGAGAGAGAGAGAAATCATATGGGTTCTTGAGAGAGTTGATTGAAGATCTTTTCAGGACCTCATGCAATTGACTTTGCTTTGCCTTTTAGTCTTCGAGGATGTGCACCCGCTAGGTGATTAGGAGTCACTTGAGAGCCTTCAAGGTTGTGATGAAATCAAGAGTTTGTACAAGGCTCGATGGTCACATTCTTCATGCAAGATTAATTCTAAGTGGGACTTTGACCTTAGTGGTATCATGGTCCTTGTGGGATTTTAGTTGGAGACACTGTCAACACCTTTGTGGTCTTAGGACTTTGTGTCCGAACCTCCACCAATGAGGAGTAGGATAGGAATCTTGGAAAAACATCGTCGTGTCAACAGTATTTGCTATCTCTTTTCCCTTAGTCCTACATTTCTTGCAAGTTTACCTTCCAAATTCATACTTTGTTGTAGACATGTTTGAGTAGGTTCTCCTAAGAAACCAAGTCCAAAATCTTATTACTTGCCAACTAAAATTTGAGGATATAATATTTTATGTGAGTATTCATCCCTTCACCTCTTGTCCATAGCACACGGTCCTACAAAATCATAGCATGTCACTCTGATACCCACATGTGTAGAGGGGTGGAGGCAATCTCCAGCAAAAATATTTTACCCTGATATAATTTGTTAGTAGGGATTATGACTGAGTATTGATATAGGTAATAGGTTCAGATAAGTAAAAGAAAAGTGGTGGTTACCTGGTGGTAGTCAAGAAATAAGTAATAAACGGGAAAAAAATTAAAATAGCAGGCATTCAACCATAATTAAAGAGTGGATCAGATCTCGTCGCCCATACTGATCCAGAAGACGTCGTGGCTGTTGCATAAGTGATGTTGTTGAGATGTCGTTGGCGAAGATTGGTCGAAGTAGACAACTATGGAGTAGAGTGCGTGGCGCCGCATCACTTGGATGGAGGACGGTCTCATGTCGCCATCACGATCTAAATCAACTAGTTTTTCAATTCCTAAACTTAACGGCAAAGAAACCAAAAAATAAAATGGCAAACCAAAGCTGCACTCCTCGACCAGATTTCGGATTTTGACGGATTATTCACGAACATGTCATACGCCACAACGAGCCGAGCGCACACATGTTCTCTTTTTCTCCTCATACCCATCACTTGATCGTTGCATCCTCTGAAATATCTTTGCAAGTTGGTTATATTTTTATTCATAGACTACTACAAGATGATAAGGTTTTGGTCAAACCTTCATATCTACACGTATCCACGTGCGCGGGATTGCGGGGCCTGAAAAGTTGACAATAGCAATATCTCGAACATGCACGTGAATGTGTGGTTGCGGTGAGAAGCTTGCGTAGACACGGCTTTGAAACTCTCTCTTTTATTTACTTAGCGTTGCCTATAAATACATGGCCGCTTCATCAAGACATCTACATCTGGAAAGCAAGCCGGTGCTAGGAACGATCAAATCACATAGAAGTGCATAGAGGTCGTGGTAAGTACCATGTCATTCCTCCCTCTTTTTCGAGAAGATCCGTGTTCTATCTATTCCTCCGGTTTACCATATCATTTGTCATGTATCATTGTCTATGAAATTTGTCGCCCGTACTCATGGGCATCTCTAGCAAAATGATCAGAAATTCATATTAGCCATTTCCTTTATTTCCATATTATTCGTTATCTTCTCCTTTTCTACTACTATGAGACTGCTAATACTGTACAAATTTAGATAGAAAAAGAGTACAAAAAAGAGGCTAAAAGTTGTGACCAAGGCTAAAAGTTGAGTGACTGGGAACAGATAATTCATTTGCCTGATGTTGACCACGAAGCACTATATTCCTTGCAGGCGTTTGCCCAATTTCATTCCCACCATGAGCAAGCCATGCGACGGTGCCAATCCCAAGACGGAGTGGCCTGAGCTGGTCGGGCGCACGATCAAGGAGGCGGAGGAGAAGATCAAGGCGGACCGACCGGACCTCAAAGTTGTCATTGTCCCGGTAGGAAGTGTTGTGACACAGGAGGTCGATCTGAACCGCGTCCGCGTCTGGGTCGACACAGTGGCGGAGGTTCCCAAGATTGGCTAAGCTAGCTTGTAATTAGCCAACTGGAATAAAAGCCCATGCAAGTCTCAACATCGTCCAGTTAATTTGCCGAACAAATAAGCATGGGTATGTTGTGAAGAAAAATAAGTATTGTTGGTGTTTTGCGGAAATGTATCATGTGTGGATCTGTTATGTATGTTATTTTGTTGTAAGTTGTAATAAGCATCGTTAATATTATCTGGCCCTGTTTATATTGTCTAATAAATATAATCTACTTTAGCGGAGTGAAATCCGTTTCATACCTTTGGCAGAGTCACATCTTAACGTTTTAACCACTGAAATTGGCATGATCCTGGTCGATTTTGACCTTATGGGAGTAAAATTCCAACACTTTACACTTGGAGAGATTGTGAGATACGCAAAGGTGTTTCTAACAGATGAGATACCTATCGGTGCTTTGAAATCCATATGTAACGGGGCTCATCCATATGTATAAGTGTATAACCATGTATTGTGGCAGCCCGTATTTTTGTATCTCCATTATAGTCAAACAAATGTGCTTTGAATGGGGCCATGTCAACAAAAAGTACTACTTCTGTCAGTGGAGTGTACGCAGGCATGCAACATGTCTCCTCTCTCTTCCTCCCGACCAATCCATAGATTTTATTTTAGCTTATAATTTTAGATGGTCACTGCCTTTCACACTAAAATTCTGTTATTGAATTTTTCATATATTTAAACTAGCTTTAAAAATAACATGTTTCACATATTTCAAAAAATTACTCATTTCACCGATTTCACTTAGTTCAAAACACTACTTTCCATCATTTCATATATTTCAATTATCTCAAAGAATTCAAACATGTCTTGTTAATTCAAAATGGGTGAAATCGATTTTTTTTAAATGAGTGAACCAGTTCTTGAAATGACTGAAATATGTGCTTTGAAATGAGTAAATCGTTTCCCTAAACGAGTGAAATGATTTTCTGTTGTTGAGTGAAATTGTATATGAAATTAGTGAAATATGTTTTCACAACTAAATGAAATTATTTTTCTGAAATGAGTAACATCAGTATTTTGAAATGAGTGAAATTGTTTTTTTAAGAAGGTGAAATGATTTTTTTATTGAATGAAATCAGTTTTATGAAATGAGTGAAGCCAGTTCTTCGAACCGACTGAATTTGTGATCTGTTTTTCAAAGTGAGTGAAATATTTTTTTAATTGAGGAAATCCATTTTAAAAAACTAAAAATATTTTTTAAAAGGAGTGGATTTTAAAACAGTGAGTATTTTTTTCTATGAAGCAAAACAAGTTTTTGGAGATGAGTGAACTCAGTTTTTTGAAATGAAATAGATGAGTCAAATCAGTTTTCAAACATGCGCAAAATCTGTTTCCTAAAATGAGTGAAGTTTGTGATATGAAACATTTGAAATCACTTTCCGAGATGAATGAAACCAGGTTTTAGAAATATGTTTCTAAGTGAGTGATTTTTTCGATATAATTGAAATGGCCCTTTGAAATAACCGAAGTGGGTCTTTCAAAATTATTGAAATGATTTTTTTGAAATCACTGAAATCGATAGTTCAAAATAATGGGAATTGGTCTTTTAGAAATAAATTATGAGATTGGCATTTTCAAATAATTGAAATGGGTATTTCGATATAATTGAAATGGGTCTTTTGAAAATATAATGTCTTTTGAAACAGTGTAGTACGAATCACTTTTTATAAAATAGGGAAACAATTGGATTCACTTTAAAATAAATAGTAGTTCAAATTTTTCCAACATTGATCATGTTCTTAAGGTCTTGTGACCGCGGATTCAAATATATAAAAAAGTTTCAAAAACGGGCATTTGGTTCAAAAGATATCAATTATTTAAAATATGAGGATGAAATTAAATGCATGTTCGTTTGTGGGGGAAAGAATGCATGCATGCACAGGTCTTTCACTCCACTCTAACTCTCCCTCTCTCCTGCTCAAAAAAAAAAACTCTCCCTCCCTCTTCTGTAAAAGGCTGACATCGTCTGACTTGTGTCAGATCATATTTCTAGATATAGCTGCGAGAAAGGATTACCGTGTATATACCCGCCGATGACGCACCAATCTTGATGAAAACAGACCATGGACTCTCCACCAGTGCATAACAGTTCCCTTAGATTTACTTATGAGGTAAAAGAATCCCAAATACCCTAACTTGCACAATATGTGATATTTTAGTCTTAAAATTGAAAAACTCAACCCCACGATACTCCAACTTGCACTGCATATGACGTTTTAGTCCCAGGCCAATGACAGCTCCACAAGTGGCAGCCAGGTGGTTGGCCCGGTCATCGCACGCATTTTTACAATAAAAACCCTGGCATTTTCTCTAATCAGCCCGCAGTACAACACAACACCTGAATTAATTCTGTCTGAATTTTCAGTTAACTACAAATTCTAGCCACTAAATCAAGCTCACGTGTAAGAGCCGGGAACGAGCAAACCAACAAAGCGCAGGAGCCCACACGCGTAGCAGCAACTTGCATCGTCTGAGATCACGCGACCATGTTTGGAGTGGCTAGCTAGCCTCGCCTCGGCGCACCCACACCAGCTGCTGCGCCGGCGCCGTCGGCTGGACAGCGGGGGTGGCGCGTGGAGGGACACGTCGGCCGAGGTGCCTGGGCTCGGCCGAGGGCGGGTCGGCGGCGCCGTCGCGTGCGCCCGGCGCTAAACTGCGCACTGGGGGCGTGATGCCCCCAGTCGCGGTGTCCATGTTTTTTTGAAAAAATTAAATACGGCGCAAACACAGCTTAAATTTAACGCAAACATCGGAGAGTTCGTTCAAATTTAAACATATTTTACAAAAAAAGAAAAATCTACTACGGGCTGCCCCCGCCGTCTCCATCGCCGCTCCTCGCCGTCTACCTCGCCGCTCCCCGCCGCCCGCCTTTGCAGTTCTACATGCCGAGGAAGCGGTAGAACCGCGTGTAGTCGTTGCCGCCGTCCCTGCTGCATCCCTCCCCCGGTTGGCGCGGCGGGTTGGACGGTCCGGGGGCGTCCTTGTCGTCGTCGTTGTCGAGGATCACGATGTCGTGCTCGTCCTCGCGCCCACGCTTGCGGGCGGCGATCTTCTCCAGGGCCCGGCGCTACCGGACCATCTCGTCGCGGAGGTAGTCGTCCCGCGCCCACTGCAGGGCGTCCTCGTCGGAGAAGCCGCGTCGGACTATCTCCTCGTACTCCGCGGGGAGGCCGGGCTCCGGCTTGGGCTCGACGAGGACGAAGCGGCTGGAGGGGGGTGGAATCGCCGATGCGGCCGCTGGAGCTGCGGGTGCGCGCGCTGACAGGCGTGTCCTGGGGCTCCGGCTTGACGGGGCGGAGGCAGGGAGAGCCCGACGAGCGGCCGGACGAGGAGGAGGACGCCCCGGGCCGCTCCATGCGCCTCGGCGTCCAGGAGCTCCCACGGCGGTGTGAGAAGGACGGGGGAGCGGGGTACTCGAGGCGCGGCGTGTTGCCGCCCTCGATGTACTCGAGGACGGCCTCCAACGTGCGGCCGGGCACGCCCCACCACTGGCGCCGGCCCTCGGAGTTGAGCCTGCCGGAGGGCACGACGCCGTTGGTGGCCTCGAGTTGCTCGGCGTGACGGCGGCGGAAGTAGGGCTCCCAGAGCGGGCTGTCGGGGACGTAGTGTGGCCCCTCCCTCGCCGCCCGCGGCAGGGACGCGCGGATACGTGCGATCTCCGCACGCCGCGCCGCCCCGGTGGGTGGTGGTGGCACCGGCACGCCGTCGGCGCTGATCCTCCAAGCCCCGGGCACCCGCATGTCCGGCGGGACCGGGTACTCGGCCTCGAAAAGGAGGCGAGCCTCGTCCTCGTGAAGATGGCGGCGCCCGAAGCCATTCGCCGCCGCGCCGTCGCCTGGGAAGCGCTCGACCATTCTTCTGAACTGGAGACGGCGAGAGGAGGAAGGGGGGAGAAATGGGCACGTCGGCGGTGGAGTATCTGTGTGTGTCTCCGGCGCGCTGGTGGACGGCTTATATAGGCGGAGGCGTCGGGTGGTAGGCTTGGCCGGCGCGTTACGCGTGGCGTGGTGGTGTGGTGGGCGAGGGGACGCGCGTCACCGGGCCTTCACTGCGTCGCCCGTGAGGCATTAATGGAGGCTGACCGGCGCGGCAGCGCACGTAGCTTTGGCATTGATTCGCCACAGAAAACGAGACGATGAGGACGACGAAGCGGCGAGAAGAGAGTCGAGTCGCTGACACGGCTGGCTCGCAGCTCTTCGCGCCAAAAACGATTTGCCCGACGCCCCCGAGCGACCCCAGCGCGCCGGGTTCGGGTTGGGTCCGCCGACGCCAATTTCGACCCGAGCCGGCAAAAACTGGGCCTTTAGGGACGTGACTGGGCCGATTTTTTGACGCCGGCGACCGAAAAATCGTCTTGAGGGCCTTCTTGAGGGCGCGGCTGGAGATGCTCTTGAAGAACAAATCGCATCCATACATGCATGCATCGACGGCACGGAGGAGTCTCCTGCGTGCACGTTCGTTAATTACCTGCATGTAGGCTGCGCCGATGTTGATGATCTTGCCGTTGCGCAAAGTCTCTTTTACCGGTGGCGGGAGGTACCGGCTAAGCATCCGCCGTTCATCCACTTTGTGATTCGTGCACTTTGCTGGCCCGCATCTCATGTATATTAATGTATTCTCAAAGAGCATGGCGTATTCAATATTATATCACATCAAATGGCAGGTCCAGGTCAGTGAAAAGTAGTACTTGATGCATGTCTGATCCATTCTCTCTTCTGGTTCACGTAAAGATGTATCCGCATGCGAGATTAAATCCTGCTCTTTATTTTCTCTTTAGCAATTTTATTCATTCATATCTTTAAAACTATAATCCCATTTTAGAAACATTTTATATATTTCAATTCCTGGCGCCAAGACCTTTAGAACAAGATCAATCTTGAATGCATTTAAACGTGATTAAATTTCAATGTTTCAAATGAGTGAAGTCAGATTTCTGAAATAAGTGAAATAAGTTCTTTGAATTGAGTGAAACCAATTTTTTG